CTCTCACGCCCCACCATACGTAGGAGCTCTCTGCCAACTGGCCAAAACTTTGCTATAGTCCCTCACCCACCTAATGGCCAACTAATCGTGGAAAGTTTTGGCTGAATTTTAAGCTTCTGCTGTGTCGAAAGTACGTGAAAATTGAAAAACTTGCATTCCAACTAAGTATATCTCCACACACACACATACACACACATGTGTCTCTGTGGTGTGTGTGAACGTACGTGGAACTTTTTAATGCCCTTAATTTGCTGGATGGTTTAAAAAGTTGCGCTACGTGGACCAAAGTCAATTTCCATGCCCAAAATCGACGGCAACTGTAAAAACAATCCGCACAAAACACAAACGTCGGAAACTGTCCCCCAAAGACAAACAAAACATAAACAAAACGCGAACAATCAACGATAATACAACAAGCTGTAAAAACAACAATTCTGAAAAGGCATTTGAACAACTTTTGACGATCGATCCGAAGGGAGCTCAATATAAAAGAAAAAACTGACTGACTGCCTGCTGCCATCTGATGTCAGCTCTGCGGATCTCTGGAAGATCTCTGGATTCTTTAGCGCTCTATCCATAAGCTTTTTGTACCCCGAGAGTGTAAATGACATGTTGTTCTGTTCTTCTGTGCGTGTTGTTTATTGTCTTTAGTGTTTTAACAATTGCTTTTTCGGCTGCGCCCACCCCTCGTAATTGTTGTCGCGTCTCGCGTTCGGATGCTGCTGAGACAACTGCATTAAGAGTGTCATTAATGCAAATGGATTCTACAAATTCTAGACGACACAAATAACATATAGTGCTGTATGAAATTGTGGAAATCGAGAAAGTAAGAAATGTCGTCGGAAACGTGGGAATTACCCGGCTGAGATTAAAAGACCATTACACGGCCAGCTAGTTGGCACTGCAACTGAAGGGTGGGGCTACCCAGAAAGTCATTTGAAAGTCGCAATTGGTATGAAACCCTTTGCTACCCCAGAACCGGAACCAATTACACAACTGACAACACCACTAATATGTGGCACGAGAGTCGCAGGCAACGTTGTTGTCACTGCTAATTATATTAAAGAGACACGCAACAATTTGTTAACAACATATATACATATAAATATATATTGGCGTCTCGTTACTATTGGGAATCGCTTGATAACGCCCCCATTTACTGGGCCACAATCGAGGCGCATGAAAAATGCATGAACGGAAATTCAAAACTCAAACACCCACACGTGTCCCATGGTTGGGCAAGCGAACCGCACGCCGCGGGCCATTGGCAGCGACGCATCGGTTCCCATCTGATTGACGGCTTGACCGAGTTCGAGTGTGAGTTCGAGTTCGAGCTCGAATTGGATAGCGAGCGGTAGTTTGAGTCCGATTCGAAGTATGGGTAAAAGTGTGAGTTCCACGGTCGGCGATTCCTGGGCTAAAGGCTCAATGATGTGTACAACCGACAACAACATACGAGGTATTCAATTACCAGCCAGCCAGCCACACACGCAGCCCGTCACTCGGACTTTGTCTGTTTGTGTTTGTGTTTGTGTTTGTATTGACTATCTTCTATCTTTCGGCTAGTAACTTATATTGGTGGCTGCCATAACTACGACTAATTACGACCATTCCAATACAGCGAAATCCATTCACTACTCAACCGCCGGTTTGCTTAGGCATGAATAATTTCATCAGGCCCGACGACGTGTAGCACCGATAGCCATCGCCTGGCATATCATATTACTGCTTTATTAATATGCCATTATGCCGAGCAGTCGGGTAGCCGGGTAGCCGGGGCAACTCTCTGCAACAGCTCACATGCGCATTTGTAATTGTGCTGACAGGCGAAGAGTCGCGGCATTTAACGCCGATCCGGCAACCGGATTGATTCTCATCCTAATGTTAGGAGTTGTTGCCACTGGTGAGTCCTCAGCTTATTGTTATCGTTGCTGCGTTCCCTTCTTTATATTTCCCTGCCCTGAACACCCGCCGTCTGATTGTGTATTGTTTGTCTTTTGTTATGCTCTTGGTCAGTTGTTACTTTTGTTGTTGTGTACAAAAAAAAAATCAGAAAATAATCATAAATAAATAGAAAGGAAATTTTGCCGCAGGACATGTGTGTGTGGGGTCAACAGTCCGCTAGATTTGCCATTTGTAAATAATACACAGAGCATGTTTCACTCAGTTGCGACATTCGCCAATATAAATTAAGATGTTTTCGACTTTGGCAACAAAATATTAAATACTTGATAAGTTTTCGTAAATATTGAAAAATATCAAGTAAAAAATCCAACTGCATTTACTTTAATAGAGTATAAAAATGTGCATAAGAGAACATATTTATTAAATTATACAAATTGGACTGAGGCGCGCAGAAAAGTGCCTAGGCTCCGATATCAGCAAGCCATATTGTGGACTAGAAGCATGTCGCTCTTAGCTTCCCATTAAATTTGGCCCTTCGTTTTTTATGTTGTGTGTTTGTGTGTTTTTTTTTGCGGCTCCCTCCTTGAACCGTTGGCACACGCCCATGGATCGTTTGATAGTTGCATGTGATAAAATTAGAGCAATTCCATGGAACGGGTCTATATTTAAACCACAACATGAACAGCAACAACGGCGACAACTGGGCTAAGTGTAGGCAGCGTCTACACCATGTGTCTACACCATGTGCCCCGCTTGGTAGGTGGGAGGGATTGTAATAGTTCGAGTGTTTGTATTCCTATTCGTAGTCGTATTTGTTTTTGTATTTGAATAGCACGCTTCGCTGGGTTTCACTTAACTCTTGACCCCACGCAATAAGCCCTAAGCCCAACTGGCGCTCACCTAAGTCATTTTTACTACTTTACGGCTAATAAACTGAGCCAAACTGAAAGAACTCTGAAACAGAGCAAGCCAATAAATACATATATAAAAAAAATAGCTCTGGCATTGTTGACGAATTGTCCGATTGCCCGATTGTCCGACTGTCCAATTGCCCGACTTTCTGATGAGCAAACGGGGGCGTCTTCACGTTTGGTTTCACATTCTTTTGTGAGTTTTTTTATGTAGCCTATAATTTTCTTAAATAACCGGAAAAACGTTTTACGTTCGTCATTTGGCTTCCGTTGTTACCATGTGCTACCCTACTTCTGATCTGATGCCTGACCTACCCAGTTACCTGCTTTGAGGGCTGCTTCTTGTTAGTACATTTTTATTGCTCGCCTTAGGGTTAGCTGTGAGATAACTATATACAAATTTCTATATATCTGATATTGACTTGGAAATGGAAGTTGGAGTCGGCCCCACGATGTGGCAGCTTGCGGAGTAGTTTAGTTTCTGGCTTGGCGCCCACCTTTTGGAGTACATAATTGACGCCTTGGCATAACCAATTATCTGACCCAAAGAAACAGCGTAACAGCTTATACTGCCCTGCACCCACCGAAAAACCACAGTCTGCGGCTTCATTTTATGCATTGTCACGCTTTGGTAACCCGCCATATTTTCACGTTGTAGAACGAGGTGCTTTTAGCTCTTTGTGGCTATTTATTATTAAACAGTCTACCTGTATGCGTGTGTTGGCGTGTGTAAATCTTGTAAATCTTTTGCTTTCAACACAGCTAGCTACGACAGGCAGTTGGCTTTTATTTGTTTATGCCTGATCATCGCTTTTAAAAGTATTTTTCGCCCGCCTTTAAACGACTTTAAATGCGATTCATGTCCGTCTCGGGATATCGTTGGAAATTGCATGTTCTATTTATTGCTGGCATTTTGTTTTGATTTTAATTTTAGTTTATATTAGTTTTTTCATTAACTAGCTATTTGTGTGTCGTCATTAGCCACGCCCACGCGGCGGGCGGAGCTTATTAGCCATCATTAGTTGAATTTTGTTTATGTTAGAGGCTAAGCTGTGACCGCAGCTGTTATTAATTTAATGTTCAAGCGTGGATAAAATACAAAATAATTCATTTCTCGAACTGTGTAGCCCGAGATCTTTACGGATGTGTCTCTGCTCCAGTTTGTGGCTCGGCTGAACTTTTAATTATTAGTTTAAGACTTCAATTGGGGGCAACTACATAAATTATCAAGTAGTATATGGAAATTTGAGACAAGCACAGCTCGAATCTGGCGCAATGATTTGTGGCTGCTCCAAATTTCTAATCAAGATGACTTTGATCTCAGTGATCCCCAGCTAAATATACATGTGTTCAAATCAAAGAAACCGCGAGTCAACAAAATAACCTGGGAATCGCTACAGAAGTTGTTTATCAACAGAATATTAGGATGAGCTCAGCTGCTTTTTATATGTATTGGGATTGTGTGCAGCGATTGCATACTTAAGTGGGGGGACTTTTGGGAGTAGCAGGAACACATGACCGCCATTTTGGTTGCAGTTGCAGCATCAACTGGGTTGATAAGCCTGCCTCGCGCGTCTCCCACACAAATCTGAGCGATACAAACGAGCTGAACAACTTGGGAGCGGAACAACAAATGTGTTGGCACTGGATTTAAATTTTGCGCAATAAAACAAATAACAAGGGAAATAACTAACAAAAAACAGGAGAGCTGCGGTAACCCGATGAATAAATACTCTTTATGTAAGGAGATTAATGAAGCCCTCTGTTGCTGTGCTTGGCCCCTTACAACTATGTAACTATTGTTCGATCGGATGCACTTAACTATATCGACTTGGGGCTTTTGCTGCAGAGCAAGCATATAGATGTTTTAACGGATTAAAGACGTCTCCTGACTAACTGCGTTAAAAAATTCAAATACCCTCTGCAAGGGCATCAAAATGAAACAAAACTACTTTAATTCGCTCGCATTTGTTGTGCATGTTGCTGTCTGCTTGTTGGCCAGCTAACTAATTAAACCTCAAATAAAATATGTTGGCCAAGTAATTTGTAAAACGCTTTCAACAAATACGCAAACAGCTGTGTACCCTCGCACACACACACACACACAGCCACACATACACCCAAGCAAAGGCTTCTATATGTGAGCTGCTAAAAATCAATTGGGAAACGCGCACGTTTTTCTCGCCCTCTACAACGTTTGTTTATATGCCAGTGAAAATTTACAACATTTGCCACACTTTCCCAACATCAGGCTCTCTCTGTCTCTCTCTCACTGCAAGCTCTCCCGGGTTTCGTGGAAAATGCATGCTAAATAAATTTGCTGCCACAAATATAAATGCCACACGTTTATTTGCTTTCACCTGGTCGGGCAGCTGTAGGTGCCCCAGGACCCACAAAATGGCAACTGGCAGCTCATGTTGTTGTTTCTATTCGGCTTGTTGTTCTTTTTTGGTGGGCAGTGCGGGCGGGGAGTGGGTGGTAGGTGGGGGAGCGGCACCTTCAGTTGACCTTCAACGAGTGTCCTTTGCTTTAGTTCGGGTCGCAGTTTGTTATTTGTTTGGGTTTCGCCTTCATGCCAAAAACTTTACCTTGTTTGTTTTCAATGCATTTCAAGTATGTCATTCTTGTTTTATTATGAAATGGAACCCCATTAAGAATGGGGCAACGTCTGACCACTCAAAATGCATTCACTTAATTGACAAATACCGAGTTGAATATTTTACATACCTAGAAAGAGAAAGAGAAAGAAAAACGCAAGATGAGTACGGAAACGAAATATGTATAGTTTATGATTTATATGAAGCGAGCTCTTTTCCAACTCAAACTTCCCCATTTACTTTGTACTTAAATAACCCCGATAATTGTTCCATTCCGTGACTCTTTCTCAACTCTACACGCTCTCTGCTTTATCTGACATCTTTTCTACCACACATCAGTAACTTTAGTTACCCTGTTTGCTATGAGCTTCCCCCTTTCGGCTTTCTCATCCTGCTGGCCACTCAATTACTCAGTTTCGTTGATGTAATCGATACCTCTTTGTCGCCGCTGACAAGCGACTGACTTTGTCGCCTACAAGTAAACAAGTAAAAAAGGAAGTAAAAGTACCCTCGTCGGGCGTACCCGACTAGAAGATACACTGCACACAGCGCCTTTACAATTATTCTAGCATACCTCTATGTATATTCTGCCCTTAGCTCTAGAATAGGGGAATTGCATTCAACTCCAAGATCTATAATGCATATATATATATAACTTATGGGGTCGGCGAAGCCTCCTTCTGCCTGTTACATACACTTGCAGTAAACCATCATACCCTCTTTAACCATTTTCAGCAGCTGCGTTATGTGGGTGAAGTACAGCTCTCTGGTTGCTCGATTGCTGCATTTGGAGTCGGGGTATATTCTTACAGGAAGTTAATGCACTGGTCGCCGTCCCACCACCGATTGTGTGTGTTTTGTAATAAAATATTAGATATTTTTGTAAAAAAAAAAAAACAAAACAACCAACCAAATCAACTAGCTGCGAGAGCTTTCGAAAAAACATTCCTATTTGCTGTAGCATCCGCCCTTTAATTTGTAATTGCAGCTGTGACGCAGCTTCCGTTGTTTCATGATAAAATGTTTGAGCTGCGCCCCGGATCGGTTTTGCGCCCACTGTGCGCAGTTGAATTTCTATCAACTATGCGTTTTATGCAAATTGTGTCTGCAACTTGGACATCAAATTGGCTGAGTTCATTTCAATTTATGCCAAAAACGCACCACCCGACTGAACGAACCCGGACTCATCAGCTTATGAGCTGTGCAATTTCCCATCGCTGGCTGTCTACGTTTGTGTGGCCCATTGTCCGCGGCTTGTCGCTAAGCCAGATGTAGATTACGCAGAATTTTTATATTTGTATAAGAAGTTTTTCTTTCTGTTTTGCCCGAGAGTTCATAATACGCAAATACGCTGAGGGCACTCAAAGTCAACTGCTGGAGTCGCCTACAGTCCGCTGTCTTCGGTCTCCAGTCAGATGGCCTGATTGTCTTTTCAGTTGAGTTATATTCTGTACTTCGGTTCGGTTCGGTTCTGTTCTGTTTGGCTGTCTTCTCTCTGTTGTTTTGCTGCGATGTCAGCTGATTATTTTTGCATTTCTGATGCGTTTCGTTGAAAATGTTTCGTTGCCACTTGAGCAACGGACAGCGGGCGAGGGGCTAATAGTTTTGGATGTTGCTGCTGCTGCTCTGATAGGGCACATATTTTATTTATAGACTTGACTTTACGATTTGTACATGTCGCACAAGTCACTCAAATTTAAGACATTTCCATCTTTATCATCGTCTTCTGCTCAGACTTTTATTTCAATTTTTTCCCAATACCCTGTAGCTTTTCAAAATGGGTAGTATGGCCCGTATATATTCTAGATCTGTGTGAATAGCCTTGTCCATCAAGCTGTCTGCGGCTCGAACCTAGAGACAATAAGAGCTAGATACTTGATATTTGGAACATATGTAGATGCTTCTATTGCCCAAGGAAATCAGTTTAATTTCAAATCCTCGAGACCTCAAATAGTTTGATCTAAAAGTTTCTCGTTGAAACATCAGCTCGCCGCTGAGTACAGGCTATCTCCTAGTCGATCACACCCGACTACAGCACATTTACTTGTGTCTCCTCAGCCACTTGTCTGTGTGCTTTTATGATTCCACTGGAGGGCATGTTAATGAGCCTAATATTGAAATTAATATAAATTTTTATGGCGCAATTTGAGTGTGAAAATGCACTAAAAACAATGCCAGCTGCTGGATGCTGGATATTGGGTGCTGGATGCTGGGAGGTTGTCTCTCGCAACTCCCAACTGAATTGGGTCAAAGAATAAAGTACCCAGAAAGTGGGTTGGGCTGGCGACCTCCCCAATAACGCACTAATTGATATTTTATGTAATTTCGTGTGGGCCCACAGAAAACTCCACTTGCCGAGAAAAATGAAAAATGCCTTCTATTAGTGGGATGCGTTATAAATAAATAAAATAAAATAAATGTACGCATTAAGTGCCACTAAAATGCGCTTTATTCTCCTCGGGATTCCGCTGTCAGCATTCGACTGCCCGTCTCTCTCTCTCTCTCTCTCTCTCTTTCTCTCACCTCTCTCTTTTCTCTGGAAGAGCACACTGAGTCAGCTGATTTACGATGGAAATTCTGAGATCTTTTTCAGGTTTTATGTCAGTTCATATTAGAAATGTGTTTATATTTACTACCGAATAACATTGGACTTATAATTCTTTGCTGTTGAAACTAATATAATTTTTATGTCGTGCACTTTGAAGTGTCAATAAAAAGAAATTCTGAGTGCGCCGACATGTAAATGATGATATAACATTTCTTATTCAGGCATCAGACATATGTATATCTTATAAATTGATTGGATTGGGCAACTATCTGAGGAATGGGCGAGTGGGAGGATTTGGTTATAGAACAGCTCACAGCTAAAGTTGAGGCATTAATTAGACGCATTAACAACAAACTGAATAAACTAATTCATCTAAACTGTCATCATCATTTCGAGCAACTGTCAACCATTAGAAGGCCGACGACGATGTCGACATTGACGAAAAACTTATCGCATTACCCAACCTTGCGCCCGAGTTTCGCGTTAGAGCGGGGTTAGTTGGGCGAGGGGCAGTAGAGCTGGTTGCCTGGAAAAGTCACTTTTAATTATGCCGCAAAAGCTGGCGCTAGATTGCGAGCTAAATATTAATGAGACCCGGCACGCACTCGCTTCATCTGGCTCTCGTTCAATGGACGATGACCGGGCAACCCTTATGAATATTACATGGCCGGAATCCGTATCCGCGTTTTGCTGTGCGCTAATCAATCAATTTTCCTGCCCTGCGTTCGGCATCGCCAATTGGCTTGGCATTTTGGTAAAACTAGTGCGCTGCAGAGCTATAACTATGCCCGACACATAATCTTCATCATCATCAGCATCGATGGTCGCTGCGGAGGCGAGCTTTTGCGTGGAACAATTGTTTTAAAGCTATTCTTGGCAAATACTTTGATTGAGTGGCACATGACCCCTCTGATGTGCGCCAGAGGCTTCATGTTGCCAGCCAGCGCTATGATGCATGACAAAGATTTGACAGCACTAATTCAAATCTTGTGTACGATTCATATGCAAAAACAGACATCATCAACAACAACAACAAGAACCATGGCAAACGGGGAACTAATGAACTACATATGTCAGCAGATGGAAAATTACAAAATCTTGTTGCTTCAACTTGTCCCTCTTTAAAAGGCCAGACCAGCCCACCCCTACTTGAGCTCGTCAACCGCAGTACTCGCGCGACTTCAATAAACAAAATAGACGGGAACTCGGACTGTGACTGAGCTTAAGACTAGTAGGGCACAAGTGCAAGGCGTCAGCTTCTTTGTTGACTCTAGGCGGGAGGAGTCACACAGCATGCGGAAGCGTCTGCTGCACTGAGTCCAGGCGAGGCTGACGGATGGGCGGACGGCCGTTTGGGCGGGTGTAGGGGGCGTACAGCATTAGCTCAAATGCGGAAGTGCCTGGCGTTGTTTTAGTCATACTCCTATTGTTTGCCACAAAATGAAATATTTATAAACAAAACTGAATGTGGCACACATATAAAGATAACAATAACTCCGGGCAACGAAACTGAAACAAAGGCGGCTCTTGTCAGTGTTGTTGTTGTTGCTGCTGTAGCATGTTGCATGTTGAATGATGTTGTGGGCGACTTTCCGCATGTATCTGACTGGTGTTTTGTTAAATTTTCATAATATGAACAATGTTTAAACCATCTTCGCGGCAGTAAGCTTAAAAACAAAGCTTAGAGGGCTTGCAGACGCCTTGAAAGCAATAATTAATGTAATCAAATGCTTATTATCGAAGATTTGTCAGTTCATTGACAACTGGCAGATTATAAATGCAAATCAACACAATCGTTTCCATGAATAATAAAAACAGGCAGCCGTGTGTAGATAATTATTTGACAGTTTTGCCCTGCGGCAAGGAATATAAAATATACATGCTTGCGTATATCTTGTCTGTTTCATCGTGAATTACGGCGCTTAAGATACATAGGCTACTCGTGATGCACAAAGACGATAGTATCATTAAACGAATAATTTAAGAAAATACATATTTTTACATTAAGACTGCAAGCTGGGCCTAACTCGGAATAACAAATTATTTGTTCTATAAAACGAATCTTAAACCGAACAAATTCCCCAAAAAAACAGTTGAACCGGAACTCAAACGGAAACATAATTTGGTTTGATTTAAAATAAAAATCTTTGGAGACAGACTCAGCTTCAAAGCAGAATAAGCCCGAGGCCTTAACCATGCCATTTATCTAAACATTTTTGGTAGATGCCAGTAGAGATCAAATATAACCTGATACTTCAATATGAAATGATAGCTACGATTTATTATGTAGAACGGGCAATCGAAAATTGAATTGAAACCAAGATTTGAAACAAAAACCTAAGTTCAAGCTTCCCAAACTGAACCTAAAGGCAGGGACTTGGTTCGGGCCGTAAACCATATTTTGAGTTCGCAGCCCTGAATTTAGTGCAATCACGTTTGAGCTTAAATTCATATTTATGAGTATTATTATTATTATTATAATAATTATCATTACTATTATTATTATAGTTATTATTATTATTATTATTGTTATTATTATTATTATTATTATTATTATTATAATTATCATTACTATTATTATTATAGTTATTATTATTATTATTATTATTATTATTGTTATTATTATTATTATTATTGTTATTATTATTATTATTATTATTATTATTATTATTATTATTATTATTATTATTATTATTATTATTATTATTATTATTATTATTATTATTATTATTATTATTATTATTATTATTATTATTATTATTATTATTATTATTATTATTATTATTATTATTATTATTATTATTATTATTATTATTATTATTATTATTATTATTATTATTATTATTATTATTATTATTATTATTATTATTATTATTATTATTATTATTATTATTATTATTATTATTATTATTATTATTATTATTATTATTATTATTATTATTATTATTATTATTATTATTATTATTATTATTATTATTATTATTATTATTATTATTATTATTATTATTATTATTATTATTATTATTATTATTATTATTATTATTATTATTATTATTATTATTATTATTATTATTATTATTATTATTATTATTATTATTATTATTATTATTATTATTATTATTATTATTATTATTATCATTACTATTATTATTATAATTATTATTATTATTATCATTACTATCATTATTATAATTATTATTATAATTATTATTATTATTATTATTATTATTATTATTATTATTATTATTATTATTATTATTATTATTATTATTATTATTATTATTATTATTATTATTATTATTATTATTATTATTATTATTATTATTATTCTTCTTCTTCTTATTATTATTATTATTCTTCTTCTTCTTATTATTATTATTATTATTATTATCGTTATTACTATTATTATTGCATAGATGGCGCCCACTTTTGGAATGACAGCATTTAACCTAATATACATTCATCACTCTGAAGGTAGTTGCGGTGGATTCTCAATGGTTGTGAGTGGCACTCTCTGTGGTAGTCGTCACCTCGAGACTTAAATATTTACAGCGGTTGGCAAAGTCAACGCCCGAGCTGAAAAGTAGCCGCAAATAATAGAAAATGGCGCAGCTGTCGGACAAAGAGCCCGTCGGGTGCCTCCTGGCGCGGTGCATTCACCTACATTTTCCGCACCCGCGCACTGCAAAATGGCGTAGCTCGAATTTTATGCAACTCGTTGAAGAGACTGTAAGAGCTGGGGGCTGCAAGCTGTCAGCTGGCAGCTTGGAGCTGGCAGCCAAGCGGCGGGTGGTGCAAGGACGCGTAAGGAAACGAAAACGACAAAAGTCGACAAGCTGGCGAAACACTTAAAACTGCGCCAAGTGTCCGGCAGGTGGTTTGGCGTAGATTGGCGCGGTGCTCGCCTTTTCTTGGGTTATTTAAATTTGCGGAACTGCGGAACGGCGCAGGCGAAACGCAAAAGAGGTTATTAAAATAAACATTTGATGTCACCCAACTGCACGTCGCCGGATCAGTTGCTGTTGCTTACATTTACTTGCCACACCAAATACTATTTACAGTGGCAGCGGAAAAGCATGAAAAACGCAAAGGCCACAGAACCAATGACAAGGTCCGCTTCATAGTTCAATGATGGATTCTTCATTGATGGACTTTTAAGGAGAGATACCTTAGAGTTCTTATCGGGATACATGTATATGCTCTCTAAAACTTTGCTGCCAGTCGAGTCGAGTAGACTGCTATTCAAATATGAAAGTTGGCACCCGGCTGGACCTGAATGCTGCCCCATTGCTGCACATTATTGTGCTGCTTTGCGGCTTTGCCGCCCTTAGTTACTTTTGCTGCCCTTTGCATTTGTTACTTTTTATTTAGAACTCGCAACCCCGTACCCCCATACACCGCATAGCACACAACCAGAAGAGCCGGGCAACGACAACCAAAAGCAACCAACTCTTTAACAATTTTGTAATTTAATTAAAAAATATTTTTTCAAGTGGTTTGCGCTGTAAATACAACAAACTATTCTGCCACCAACCAGAACCCAGCAACCGCCAGACACCATCAATGGGCGGGTCCATTTTCCACTTAGAGTTTTCTCCCCAACTACTTTGCCTTACTTTTCATGCAGTTTGCTGCACTTTCAAAGCTCTTTCTTCCTCATCTCCACATCACACTAGGGGGGTGTGTATATGTGTGTGTGCAAGAATTTTAAAACTCCATTTTGGCAGATGCTGCTGCAAGTTTCGAGCGTGTGTGTAAATATTTTTTTGCAATTAATTTTGAGCGGCTTATAATTTACTAATTTAGTTTTTTGTTAGCTGCAGCAACGAAAAGTTTGTGCCACAAAAATTTTACGGCTTGGCAAAAGAGCACAGAGAAAAACCGTCGGCGGACAAGCTGCGAGTTTGAGAAGTAAAGAGAGAAAAGCAAATATTTTCTGTAAAATGAATGAAACTTTACGTAAAGTTCTCGGCACTTATAGCCCTATCTCTTTTTCAGGCCCTGCCACACACACATACACTGCCAGTTGGGCAAAGAATAATGTGTGGACTAACTCTGAGGCGGCCCCCAAAGCCAAACTAGTAAAATACTAAAACCAGTTGAGAATTGCTTGTGCGCAAAAATATAGGAGACCAATGCAGAGATGAGATGAAATACGAAATGTAATTAAATTAATCAAAACATGTCTGCATATTATATAACTAACTAACCAAATGCTGTACGTTCGCATTGGAATGGAAATAAAAGTGAGTAGTTGGCTAAAAAGCCAACCACAGACCCAAACAAGCACAAACACAAACACAGGCAGAGGCAGAGGTAGAGGCAGAGGCAAGCATCAGCAAGCACAACAAAGGAGCGCAAATTCAAATTTACCAAATGTGGTAAAAGAATTTCAAGTCGAGTGCTGTTGCTGCCTTGCCATTTATGCATACCACTCATATATATTACAATTTTCTTTTTTATTTTTATCTTTTTTTCTATTTTTGTTTTCGGTCCCAAAAACTAAAACTAATTTGAAAAACTAGTACGCATGTGTTTTATGTGTGATTTTTGCTCATTTTTAGCGGCAATGCCTTTTGCCTTTTTTGTGTGCGTGTATTTACAGGCATGTAAACACATGAGAGCACACGCACACAAACACACACACGTACACACACACGTAGAGAGGACCACTTTAGTGGGTGTTTCGTTCGTTGGTTTTAGTTGTGAGCTTGACAGCATTTCAATAGAATTAACACAAACGCGCACACACATAAAGCCAGTGAATGGGACAGGGAAGGAGCCTGCGCAAAAGGACCTCAGCTTTGGCAAGAAAATTAAATAAAATTATAAATAAAAAATAGTAGAAACGAAAAAGAGACCTCACAAAAAGCACCATAACGAAAGGTTCCTCCCATGAAAAGTGCGCATTTATAGTACCAGCGTACCAGCCACGTTGCACGGGGCGTATACGCAATGTGAGAGAATTTCAAGTGGGTCGGATGTGCGTGTGTGTGAATGTGTTTGTGTGTGTGTGTGTGAGTTTGTTTGTATTACATATTTTTTAAGGGGTTTTTATAGCTCTTAATGTGCGCTGAATGTGTGTGTGTGTGTGTGTGTGTGTGTGTGCGAGTGTTTGTATGCCTGCTGGCACTTGACAAATTCTTGCAGTTTTGCGAGCAACGTGTGCTCCACACGCTTCCACGATTTCAGTTTGCGCCTGACGAAAGCGACAAGAGCCCTTCTCACACTTGGCTGAAACCTAATTAAACTGCTCATCGGGTCTCCACCAGCATTCATAGTGCATTTGCACACGACTCCCACTCGGAAACGGCCCGCGGCTGTTGCCATAAAAGCTGCGCCACCAAATGCAGCAAGCCGATCTTTCAGCTTATCGACAGGAGAAGGCTGCATCGCCTTATCAGCGGTATTGCCTTTTGCAATGATCCTGATGCCGATGAGCTCAACGTTTTAATAAGGCATTGACGAGCCAAACGGCAAGCACGAAAGCAAATGGGCAAATTTCATACAAGGCTTTAAATAAATTGCTGCCAAATGCAGCAGCTTCACCGGCACCCAGAACGTTGCCCAGACGACCAGAAACACCAGACACGGGCAAACGGTCCTTTAGCGGCTTCTCGTTGCCGGGCTAGCAAGCCAATGACTGACTGACAATCACTTAAGTAGAAACCGATAAAAATCTTGAATTCAGCAGACGAAGACCAGGCGAAGGCAACCCAAGCTCCCAACTGGAAAACTGGACACCAGCCAGGCCGCAGAACAACAGAACAACGAAACAGAAAAGCAGACGAGCTGGAAGATTGAAAGAATGAAGCAATGCCCAAGCAGCCAGCCAAAGTCATGACCAACACAGCAACAACACATCCGACATTTATGGATATTGAAGCTTATAGACAGGCAGACGATACGCGCCGCAGGTGGGGCGGGGGGAACGGGAGAGTTAACAGCAGATACAAAATAGTCTGCCGAACATAGCCATTGTTGCATAGAAGATGAAACTGGTTTGGTTTGTTTCGGTTAGGCTTGCGGGAAAAATGAAAAATATACATATTTCGTATAGTAGAGAACTGCGGTCAACGCTGCTTCTCAGCATTGGTCAAGAGGTCAGCTGCAGCAGCTGCGGCAAACGAGTTAAGAAATTTTCCAGCAAGTCTTTAAAGTCAGTTGACGAAGGATCGCTTTGAATTAACATATTGTTACGAATACATATTTAATTAAATATGTTTTCATGGTTCGAAGTGTGAGAATAGATCAGTATATACATGTGTAGCGGGTATTAATCGGCTTTGACCGGGTTGAGGAATTTTTTTTTTTTTTGTAATTTTAGATATTGTGTTCCGCTCGTGAGGAATTTAAAACTTAAGCCTAGGTGGATTTTTCGAAAAATGTGAAACACTTTGTATTATACAGAAATCTTTGAAGATCAGTATGAAGTCGATTTGGAGGCAGCTATTGAGGTTTGGTCTGAGCGTTGATCAACAGTTAGTTAATCAGGAAAAACAGTTTAAAACATTAAATTTTCAACAAATCAATTCTCATCTATTAACGATTCATGGACGAGGTCTTCCCTGTTAACACGTCCAGCGAATGGTTAACAATTTTATTGTTATGTGACTGAAACGTATGGAAATAGGTTTGAAAAAATGGCGCCATTAAATATGACACAATTCACAAACAGAGCAAGAGCGAAAATACACATATTTAGTTCTTGGGCCCACTTGCCACACATATTCTACGGCCACGTTTGCAAATGGCCATAAAGAAGTCACAAAGGTACTCGTGGAATTTCTTTGCCTGTTAGCAAGTACCCTCACCCTAGCAAATACTCTCTTTCCTTTGCCTTTCCTCTGGTATTGTGAGAAATTGTATTGTGAGGTGAACAAAAACCTATGTATGTGATATGTTTGTGGCACAGCTGTTGGGTCTATATTTATGCGAGCTACTACTATATATTTGAACTCCTTTGGGTCGCCTTTGCTAGCTCCTGTGCATATGTACAACAATTGCGTGCTTTATAGTCTTTGACTTTGCAGCTATTGTGGGGCAACGCCCAGGTTCGCTATAAATATCATACACAATTATTTGTAGTCACTGCAGTGGCTTATCTTGAGCAGTCTGTTAAGATCCTCTGGTCCCAAGTAGAATCTCGCACAGTGTTTAAGAACTAAGAAATTACTGTGAAAATACACGAAGGAATTTGACAAGGCAATAGAAGAATTACAAACAACAAATGTGGCAATGTCATAAACTGGCCAACAGTTCCGCGGCCAAGTCGAACAAATTGCGGCAAAGCATCTGCAAAAATGCATTGCTCTAGCTGCGGCTCTGGCTGTGCTTCTCGCCACGATACACCAGAGAATTGATGTCATTTCGAATGTAGAATTCCTGCTAGAACATGTGTCCAGGCCGTGTACGTGCCGCTTGCGCAGCTGCGGACTGAAGGCTGACTGGCAATCAGGGGCGGGTAAATAAATAAAAACTAAATAAATTATTGACATAATATTAAAGCATAGTCAGGCACAGAGATGGGATGATGCCGGTTATGACCGCAGTCGTAATTGATTTTCAAAGGGCTATTAGAGGGACAAAAAGGACAGGAGATGCTCTGCGCCAGTCGTGTCTCCTGTGTCTCCTGTGTCAACTCGGGCAAATAAAATATAATTGTAATTGCAAAAGACAAAAGATCAAAAGGATAGACAAGCAGACAGGCAGACACACGGACACAGGCAGACAGACATCCAGTCTGTTCTGTTCGGTTCTGTTCTGTCCTCTGCCAGTTGGCTGCGTCCATTCCCAGACTTGGTTTCTAAAGTTGCGCATCAACTTGAGAATCGACAAATATAAAACAATAATCATAATATTGAGGATGATAATGACGCTGCCATTCGGCTAACTGCAGATACAATTGTATCTGTGTCTCTCTTTCGTTCGCCTCCTCTGGCTCGAGTGTCCCGCCAGGGTCCTACAAAGTGCTCGGTGTCCCAGCACTCAAGTGCACAAAACACTCGTTAAATGTGCCAAAGTAAGAAATGTTCCTTCTGCTTTTAACTGCCGTATTCGTGTATTGATTTCAACTTTTCCAAGGGTTCTGTGTTTATGTCGTTTGCCTGTCCCGTCCCACACCTCGTACACCTTTCGCCTGTCAACGCCGCCGAAGCTTGAGCTGGAGCTGGAGCTGAGCCTGCAGACTAGGCTCTTGGATAGTCGTTTCGCTGTTGTCAAGTATTTATGCTAAGAGCTGTCAAACAAGTTGTAGTTACATTGATTACAAGCGCGACTGCAGCACTTTTTCCTATATAGCAGTATCTTTTTAATGTGATTGCATTACTTACTCGAGCCTGTTGGCTCTTGGGTAGCTGCCGATTGCATCTGGGCATTGCCGATGCGAACCTGCACGCCCACTGGGAGTTGATAAAGCTGCCTAATAGCAACTATTTGTTCTTTTCATAAGGCCAGAGCAGATGGTACTCGAATACGTGCAGTTGCAATATGCATTCAGTTTAAGTACCTGTGACTTAAATAAAGAACAATTAAATAACTGTAGTTCTAAGACACTTGCAGAGAAAACTATAGCTGAGCCTTTTAAAATACTTTACTTAATTCAAACTCGATTCTGTAAAATCCAATTAAATCCATTCAAATCCTTTACCTAAAGAGTTTGGTGCCAATCACTTCCTCTGATTTCTCATCCGAAAAGTTGGCAATGCTTATTAAGCTCCTCTTTTGATTTAGATTCTAAATATATTCAGACACCCTGCAGGGCTTTACATTGTGTATTATTTTCCGGTTCTAAACAATTTACATAGCCTACCACTCGATAAAAAATAGAGTGGAGAAAGACTTCCAATTCGGCGCCAATTATTTTGCACAAGCACAACAAATGCAATTTGCGGACTGAGAACGAGGGCCAACTGCAGCATATGCACATGAAAAACTGCACACATACACCCACACCCACAGACACACACATTAAAACACAATTAGAATAAATTTTCGCACAACTGAGGCCCCGCACCGAACCGATCACAGAGTCGAGTTGATTACACGAAACGCGCCCACGCCTCCAGCTAAAGAATGAAAACTATAAAGTAAGGTCCCGGGGCGAACATACGTTCCGGCTAGATATTACCAACCGATACGAGTAAAACAAATGATACGAAAACTAGCCCTGGCAGTCTGGGAAAGGCAGCTGTAACAGTTTTTCATGCGCGTTTTCACCAATTTCCAATAGGCAGACACGCAATTTTGGACCGTCGCAACGCACGAAACCTGCACCGGGCTTTGCTCTGGCTCCGGTAATGAGACGACGTCGCCACGGAAGGGGCAGATGGAGGTGCTTGGTACGCGTTGTCGCCACGAGCCCGACGAGGTAGCTAAGGCTATTCTTTCATAGGTTTTCATTTTCGTGTATTTTGTTTTTCTATTTTGTTTTTTCTTTCTGTTTTGGCTGCTTTTGTTTTCCCCAACGACGTCGACAGCGAATATGTTGGCGCTGTTTTGGCACACATGGCAATATGGGTATCGACGCCAACAACAACAACAACAATGGCTACAACAGACAACGCTGGCAACTTGGAGGCCACAAAAATCCTTTGCACAAAACACGCACATCGCTGATGGGCGCTCCCCTTGCCCGACCTCTTTCCGGGCCACGCGCCTCCACCAAGCCTCGTTATCTAGCTGGCAGCCCATAATGGGCTACGCATATGAGAAAGTAGGATGTGTGCCATAATGCCATAAGAGAAGGGGCACGCGATGGCACGGTTTGGTAAGGCAACAGAATATATTCAATAAATTCTGTCAAAGGCATTATGGAAAATGTTTTCTCGTATGAGTGCGAAAAGCAAGGCTTGTCAGTGCCAATGCCACATCAGATCAACAACTCATTTTATCGATCGCCTATTAGATAGTGTTCGATAGGATATATAAAAATGTCACAACATCTTATCCCGACCAGAATCAGCCCATAATTCCCTGACACACGTAATTAATCAGCTTTTCTGTGCTGGCATTCTGGTTTTTCCACTTTCCAATTGGCGGTAATGTGAGGCTTCTTCGGGCAGATAACCATGTAAGTGACTTGTCATTAAAAGTTTGGGTCATTTTATGGCCCTGTCTACAAGCTTGTTGAGCCCATAAAAACAGAGAGTCAAGGCAACGCATAGATAAACATGAAGCAACATTCCGGCCTCATCAGGCTTAACCTTTCCAGGCACGTACCACAAAAACATACATATATATATATATATATAAAATCTATGACTAAACTCAACCAAAGTTGAACGACATTAAAACGCAGCGCAGGAAAAATTAAATTTTTTTTGTGTTCCGCAACGCACATAAAAATTAAAATAAATACAGCACTTATAAGTAACGGGCGGAGGAGTGGGGGAACAGTGTAAAAGCCCGTAAAAAGTAAAAAAGACGCGGAAGAGGAGGCCAATGTTACCAATGGAATGTGTTCTGTGCGCCGACTGTCGGCTCCCTCAGCCAACTATTAACGTCGCCTACAAGGCGTCACGTAGGTGGAAAAACTGAAAAGCCAACAGTCTGGCGAAGACTGGCGAATAATATGCCCAAGAATTATGAGACACGCCGAATGGCGACAGGCAAATGGCAGCTAAATTGGATGAAGATTTAAATGGAAGGGTAGCGAGTCGCTGGCTAGAGATAAGCGAAACATTGGAAAATTACTGGAACCGTTGCGGCGGCAGTTTTGTTTATAATAAATGAAGTTAAATCTATTACAATTCTCGCTAATATGTGAAGCGCGTGGGCCCGCTAACGGTCCTTACTAGCCCCAACAGCAACAGCTACAGCAAAAGCAACAATCGATTACAATCTGGCTGCTTGTTAAATTGCAAGAGCTGGCTGAAAGTATGGAACCAGCCAAGGAGCCAACGGGCCAAGCAACCCGTTCGAGAGTTGGCTCTGCCAATTTTCTGTTTGGCATTTGCCGTTTGGCTCATACGTGGCCGGGCCTTGTTTGGCGCAGCTCTAACCATAGGCTGGCCCGGCTAGCTGATGGGCAGCAGCAACAAAAGGCAGCAATGGACCCAGCCACCGACCGACCGACAGACCGCCGGACCGACCGATGGGGCCAATAAGCCGACGCTAGCTAACAGGAAAAAAAAAGAAAAATTTCGTTGGTTTTTCTTGGCATCGCTTTTTGGGAAATTGCGTTTCTTGTTCTGCGGCCCGGCACCAGCTTCTGCAGCACCTCCTCCGCCGGCTCCGTCACATTGTGTAGTTGCCTTAAGCTGCACAGTTCACTTTGATTATGGCGTTGGCTCACTCTTCATTTGATGGTCCGAGGCCTCATACAAAAGGGTCGCTGCCAATTCCAGCGTATGTGTGTGTGTGTGTGTGTGCGTGTGTGGGTTGCATTGTGCGCGTAACGACTTGGCCAAATGACTTTTTGGCTGGCAAATTGCGTTGCTTGGCATAAAGAACAATGGCTACGCACTCCATACAGCAACCCTTTTCGGTTTTATGCTCTATTGAGATTTCATCATAAACCTGACAAGGCTGAGAGGCATCTAGATGGGGCTGCATCTATCAAATCTTTGCTGCCAAGCCCGTAAATTCCCTCACCGATCGTAAGCGCTTATGATTGCCTCGCCTCACCTCGACTACTCTGTGTATCTCTCTCGCACCATCTCTTAGTTGCAGCTCATTAAAAGTCTGTAAGTTTTTTCGCCAGTTTTATTTTCATTTCGATAAAAACGCAGCCCACGTCACAAAGCCATTGCATGCGCCGAGCAGAGCCCCGTTTGCCTCTCGCTAATGAAGTGTTATTTCATTTTACTTTTTTTTGTGATATTTTTTTTTTTTTGCTGAATGCCTTGTGGCTGCAAAAGCTGGCTCTTCTTTCCCATATAAATTGCTCAATCCAAGGCAAACACCGCACCTCAAACGAGGAGATGCTGCTGCCTTGGACTGGTTGTTGTTGCTGCTGCGGCTGCTGCCGCTGCCGCTGCTGCTGCTGGGTGCAGCTCACGCAAGCGGATGGTCGTCTGAGCGGCGACACCTACGCAGCCAACGCAAATTACAGCAACTTGGAGCAATGGACCTCTGTGCAGCGCCCCTCACTCTGCCGCTTTCACTTCCTATCTGGTTTCTAAGCATGTGTGGCAGCTGCAATTAAAGTAAATAAGCTCGCGCTGTCGCAGAGACCCTGCCTTTTGCCCTTCCCGCCTACGTCTATCTGGGCCAATGCAAAACAAGCAATATTCGCTCATCAGCGACAAAAGCGCCAACGCCCACGCCAACGCCAGAGAGCAGAGTAGCTGCGAGGAGCGTCTACAAAGAAACAAAAAATGGTCAACATGACAACGTTGACATGCGACATTAAAAGCCAAGACATAGAGGCAAAGGCAGAGCTAAAGTTTGGATACGATTCGATTGGATCCTTGGACCATTGCGTGCCTATCGAGCTGGACCCGGCCGCGTTACTCAAGAGAAATGTCCGCAACACACGCAAAAAATCGCAGAGCATTAAAATCACGGCGTGTGCGTGCAGCACGGAGCAGCTGGCAGGCAGTTGGCGGGGCAAGCGCAAGGGCAAACAAGCATGTTATCAAATAATGTTGCAAATGCTTCGTTGCCGCCACAAATTGCCAGGCGGCGATACGCAGCCGCAGCCACAGCCACAGCCATGAAAGTCGCGCGTCAGGCAATTTAAATAAATAATTAATTCCCCTCAATTAAGCACAGCGCAAGGGCAGTGTGTCGACTGGCCATTTGTTTGCCAAGTCAACTGCCTGAGATTGAGTCGACCCAACTGGAACTGAAACTGGGACTGGGACTGGAACTGGGACACTGGAAATGCTGAGACAAAGATTTTGCTCGTTCTCGGAGACTAGCTCCCAGATTAACAAATTATCAACGCATAAGATTTGCAGCCGGTGCATCTCTTCTCCAGCTATCCATCAATAGGCGAATCCGTATGCCGAGCACAATTCAGGCGGCTGCTTAGATTTTGGAACGCTTTCCGCGGAAGCACTACCGCTGAGATTTCTTCACCGCAGATATTGAGATTTGTTTAGCGCGACGCTTGTCTGAAGATTGGCGTCCGCGTCGCCAGACATTGCCCTGCGACTGGCTCTGGTCTCGCTTGCATTCAGTTGGGTCTGCTGCGCGGCCAGCTACGCCCCGACAGCTAATTTTATATTCAATGCACGCAACAGTCGCCGCCGCTTAGTTTATATACTCATTTTTTTCTCCGTCTCTATCTCAAGTCAAAGCGGAGTCTTTGCCTTTTGTTTAAATTTTTCTTCTTCGCTGTGCCTTCTCTCTTTTCACAGTTTTTGTGTCTTTTTCTTGCCTTGGACTCTGCTGCTTGGCTGTGTTTTTTTTGTTACCAACTCCATAAATTCTCCAAAAACTATTTATGCTGCACATAGTTTTTGCATGGCTCGGACTAATTATGCAGCTGGATTTCAATTTATGCCCCAAGCCCAGTCTCTCCCAGTCCTGGGACTCGTCTCACAGTCCAGCACAGTTCCTGGCTAGGGCTAATGTATGCGTGGGTGGCGCCATAGCCGGGGCTTAAAGGCAGCCTCATAGCCGTCGGCCATAATTCATGGGGCTCGAGCGACGGCGTCTGTTTTGAAATTGAAAGAAAATAATTATGAGGCAGCGGAAATTGAATTTCTTATTACAGCCAGCCGAGAAGGACTTGGCCGGGGAGGAGTTGGCCCGCCACTGGAGCTGCGACTTGAGCCGGGCAACGACAGCAACAGCAACGGCAACAGCAGCTCCGGCATG